GTAAGCGCACACCCTAAGCATCTTGTGCGCTTTCTAAAATCCATTTATGGTAAGGGTCACATGCTGCCAGAATCGTACCTTTTCTCCAAGTTGGTTAAGGCCCTGATTCTCACCTTGGTTCCCACTCTACATATGTATCTTCAGTGATACCTTAACAATGTCTCCCATCTGACTGGGCTGCGGGAGTATATGTCTACCAGCTCGAGGGATCTGGAGAGAGAGATCCTACGGGAAGTCTCCATCTCAGGTACAGTGAAGGTGTCTATTGCCAGTTCCTTTCAATTACCTTTCCACTGCCTTTTTGTCATATCTCAAGTCAGAGCCTCTGCCTCAGGCAGAAAGGTTGTTGGCTATCCTGTAGCCCCCCTGGGAGAATTAGGAGTAGATGTATGAAGTCAACCTAGGTGACAGGCCAGGGTCTGGTAATATGGTGAAACCTAGATGCCTGTCCATATCCTCTTAAAGGAATCACATTGTTATCTGATTCCAAGCCTTTGAGCTCTGCCCTGGGACTGGGCTTTCTTTGTCAGCCTTTAACAGGTAAGTTATTTTGGGTATGTAGCTTGGGCCTTTGGCCGAAGTGGATAGTGTCACTGACAGCCGCTGATGTGTCCGAGGGGTGACTCTGATGGTTTCACTCTGGAGTTGGTGCTTAGTGCACCTCAGCTCAGAAAATATGGCATGCACTTCCCTCAGCATGGCAGCGTGGGTATTCCGTTTCCCATAGTGACCGCTAGAGGACGCAGTTTGAGTTCCCTTGAAAAGGAACATCTCAGGTTACACATGTAACCATGGTTCCCTGAGAAGGGAACGAGACACTACATCCTCTTGCCATGCCTCAGGATGCATGCTTCGTTACTGCAGATGAAGAAGCAGATGACGTATTCTCCCGGCACCCTTTTGTACTATGGTCGCGCCGGTAGTGACATCATAGGCTGTCTCCGGCTAATGTTATTGTCGTATTTAGACATTTGTTTCAGACACCATTCATGCTGAAGGCATTACTATTAGTCTAATTTTCCACAATCTATGCATGTTTTGTGAAGTTACGAACGAAAACACTACGTAAAAGGTACAGGTGTTTCTTTTTTTTTTGCTGTGCCTCACTTGCGCCTGTCTGGTTTTATTGTGTTATAGGTCTAAATCTATTTTTAATCTGGAGAATTTTCTGAAAATAATGACGTGCCATTTTCCTTGATATATGCATGTTTCATGAAGTTACGAGAGAAAAAGCCATATGAAAGCTACCTTTTTTTTTTTTCTTAAGCTATATGTCGTCTCTGCAGTTTTATGTGTGTTATAAATTTATGAGGAATATCTTCAGATATAAATGATGTATTATAGTGAGTTTGGGCTCTTTTTAATCAGGAGAATCTGCTCTAAATAAAGGTGTGTATTTTTCCACAAGAACGTTTTTTGAAGTTGCAAGCAATAAAGTGACATAAATGCTGCATCCATATATTATTTTCATACGGGGCTGGGGGGTGACTTCTTGTAAAAAACTCGCTCAAGTTTAGTCAAAGCCCCAAACAATTATGCTTGTTGTTTCATTCTACTCGGTGAGACCTTTAAATGATATATGACACATGACTATCTCAGCTGTATGAAGTTTTTGACATATTAGAGTACATGGCACAAAAAACATATTTTGTAAATTATGAAAAAAATTTTTTTTATCAGCAAATAACTCAACACTACTTTGGAGTTAATCAAATTCAGACTCTAAGCTTTCAAATTATACCTATTTTGTGTTATTCCATTCCATGGTTGCTTAGTAATTTGATTATGAATTTTTTCGTAATCCTTTAAAACCTTACAAGGTTTAAATAAAAGATTTTTGTTATAAAAGACAACAAAAAACAACTTTGTGCAAAGAAAAAAAAAAAAGATTTTCAAAAGTCAGCGAATTTGCATCAGCTGATTGTAACATTTTCAACAAGCTAAACATGTCAGTCTCTAAGTAACATGTAATTTATATAAGCCAAAAAATAAACTTAATTCTGTAAAATAAGTATAATGAGCTACACAAACAGCATTTTGAACGTCTCCAGCATGTTTTATTATTAACCACAAATAAAACATAGTTTTAGAACAGAAGTCTATGGAGTACATGCATTTACTGGAAAAACCACACTACCAAATGTTTTGACTACATTATCAATTTCTGAAAAGAAGAAAATAGTAATCTGAGCGGCTTCAACATGCTGTCTGTGAGAGATGATAATACATAACACATGTGAGTAAATAAATTTGTTCTTCGCTGAAATTTAGGGTATACTTACATGACAACAATGTACTAAAAAACTGACTATTCTGTTCTGAAATATTCATGTCTGAGTTATTGCACTGGGCGGAGCATACATGAATATTCATCAGTTTCCTGTTTTGAGTTAAAATGATGCAGTAAAAATTGTGTATGCTCCCTGCATCACATAAACTGTTTTCAAATAGGTGTTTATGTTTTTTTTTTTTATGTTTCAGTGTCAAACGAATGTAAGCTTGGAAGAATGGACAATTTTTTGGAGACAGGTCTCGCCAATCAACCTTATAAAAGAATTATATTACAGGTACAAATAAATATGAAGGTAAATAACTTAGATACAATACATTTCAGAAAATGTCTTTGTTCCAATGAATATACACTTTATATCTATTTACTTTCTTTATTTATTGCATTGTTAATAAAGCTTTAGTGCAGCATTTCTCATTGGGTGCAATACTGCCCTCCAGTAACTACTTGCAAAAGAATACGGTTTGCAACATTCTAACTCTGTGTCTACACTACACACAAAACACTTAAATTATATAAGAAGAAGAAAATAAGGCCATAAATTATAAATATATTAAAATAATAATAATAATAACAACAACAACACAGAATAATAATCAACATTAATATTCAGGGAAGCTACTTTTTTGGTGGGGGTGGTAATGGACCTGGATAATTGATAGGGGGCCCTGGCCCAAAAAAGTTTGAAAACCAGCAAATTAGTGAAAGGTGGTCTTTGAAACCCCTGGTATTCAGACATTTCTAAGTAGACATGCCAAACATTCTATAGACATATTTTTATCTGTGAGGCAAGTATATGCTAAGTTTTGGTTAATTTTTGTGACACGTTCAGACATCCAAAGCACATCCAGTTTAGTTATTTTACAAAAGTAAAACTTTCTGTTGTTATTGTGAGTGTACACAAATAAAAGTAGACACTTCACAGTTTTGAATGATGCCTTACTCCTATCTGTATGACCAAAAATGACTGAGTATTTTAAAATCTTTCATTTTAAGTTACTTTTAAAGTTCACAGCACCTTCGCTGACTCCAAAAAGGTTAGGAACTCTCATTAAGGATGATTGCTGGACCATCGCAATCCACGAAATCTAAATAATTTAGCGTTTTATAGGAGATAAATGATCAAAGAAAATGGACTCCGCCTGCAAAACTAGCCAAAATACTTTTTTCTGCACTGTAACAAAGACATGACAAAGGGTATCCAACACATTCATTACCTTCTGTTGAGAGAGCTGAGAGGAAAGGCGTTTGGCCTCTAGCATGTCCCGTAGTTGCTCATATTGGACCACTTTACATTTTGAGTGTCCCAGACCCACTTGTATTCTTTGAGGCAACTTTTCTAGGTGATAAAAAAAAAAGTAAATCAAATACATGGTTAAATGTAGTCAATTAAATGTCAGTCAATACATAGTTTTTATCTGATTTTATATTTATAGTCTGTGCATAGAATAACTCTAAACTGTAGAATTCAAGAATGTCTGTACAGAAGTGACACTGCAGGCAGCGTTACCCTTATAGATACACATTTTTCTGCAAGTTGCTGAGGGGAAGGAATGACAGCTGGTGCCGACAGATCATTTCTCTGGATAAAATGTTAAAGTCTGATCACAGCTGCCTACCTGTGTCTTCAGAGCAGTGGTTTGTGACGAAAGAACAAAAATCTCTGCTACTCATCTGTGAATAATTCAGGAGAATAAAATGTAAATATGATTACAAATATAGGACTTTGTATAAATGTAAAATCAATGCAATGTATATGACAGGTTTAAAATACAATTAATATTCAGTAATATTTTTGATTTAACTGCACTGGCATTATCGGATGAGAACAAAATTTGAACTGAACTGAGCTGGATAATAACACTAACTTTGCAACATGGACACTCTTACTAAACTGGATCGAATCAACATTGAACAGATTTTAGCTGAATAAACTTGTTTTATAATTAATGGACTTTGTAATATTGAGTCATTGAACTAAAATGAAACAACACAGCTAAATAATGGCACTAGTGTCGCTGCTTTTACAGCTACAATTCAAGTCGTTTCTTAATGGATGAATTTATCAACACTGTTATTCTCCTGTTTATTAATGTGAAGTTGTTTTGAAACAATCTGTATTGAATAAAACGCTGTGTAAATAAATGTGACTTAACTGGACTTGACAAGACGTGATTATTTGAAGAGAACAGCCGCAAACAAGACAGAAGAGGCCATGATTGTTTGTATCCGTTTCGATCGTCCAAATTAACTAACGTTATATCATTTACAGTGAGATTTTCTCTGAATAGCTTTACACACACAGTGTCCAGCTGACAGTATTATCTGCGCTGTAAATTCATTAATTTACCGAATTAATTTATAGAAATTATGTAAATCTAAAGTTTTTCTTTTTAAACATCTTAAAATCTTTCTTTGATTTTGACAAACTACTGGCAACTATTAAAAGGAAGAAAATAACTTCAAACAGCACACCTAAGCCCTAACACAGAATAAAAGCATATTAAAAAACATTATTACCTTTATGGTCCTGTTGCAAATGCTGTTACTTGTGTATCCATTGTAACCATGGAAACTGTTTTTTCCTCTCCTATTGGCCAATTCAACAACACAGCCGACCAACCAAGCTTCCGCTCTACCCGGTGTGGGCCAATGGCGTGCGGGGTTTAAATTCCAGGGTGCGCTGACGTCACGCGTCGTATTCCGCTTGTCCGGAGTGCAGCGCACGCTGAGAGGAGGGTTTTCCGGAGCTCCTGGAGTATGGCAGTGGATTCACGGAACTAACAAATGAGCTCCGACAGGGGAGAATATTTCTTTTCGATGAGCTTTGATATTCAAACATATCGGCTGGATTAAACAAGTGCTCCGAAAGGTAATGAGAACGAATTATTAGTATTTTGACAACCTAAAGTGCGACTTTATTTAACGTTGAAAGTTTGAACTGGCTGCTGATTGTGAAGTTAGGCGACTGAAGTACGAGTTTTAACTACAGTTTTATAATTTTTTTGTTTTACGGTTGGAGAGGGAGGTCAGTGCACGAGGAGGAGGATATTAAGTTAATGCTATCTCAATCTGTCTCCTGTGACTATCTCAGCTAGCCCACACGCAGACCTTTTACTAAGAGAGTCCATTCTGTGTAGCCTGTGCTAGATGTTACTCGACTGTTTTACATTTCTCAGTCAGAGAGCACGTGTTAGTGGGTATAAATATGTGTTTGCTGAAGGTGAGTGGAGGTTGTTCGTGAGTAGGGCCAGGTGAGTACTGTGCAGGAATTCCGGGAATGTGAGGGTGTCAGGGGGCGGAGTTTAGGAGAAAAACAACAACTCTTACTTAGTATACTTTTATACTCGGGTATTGACCATGACGTGGTCCATAATTGTGATGTGAGATGATGATAGGTTCAGGAAGTTTCCAAAAGGCTTATTTACCATAAAATAGACTGCAGAAAAGTTTTGCTTTTAGAGTCTGGAGAGTGTGGGTCAGCCTGTTTGTTGCTTACTCCAGATTCTCATCTCCTGTACTGCTCACTTTGCATCCCACAGACCACCCCAAGTTTATACAACCCAAGTCTAAGGAAATGCTGGGGAGGCTCGAGCAGATAGTGACACTTAAAGGGGTATCAGCGTGACAGTGTTTACAGTGAAAACCACACTTGGATATGACTTAGTTTCAGTAGTCTATGTCTTATATGTCTAACACACACATACATACACAAAAATGTGTTTGGATGTGAGTAAACCGCTCCTAATGCCATTTAACTCTGTGTCTTAGTTTCAGCTGAAGTGGAAATCCCTGCCATTGGCACTTATATTTCTTCAGCAATAGATGCACCCTGCAGATGATGTGGAATTGTTTATTATTATTATTATTAGAATTTTAACATTGATTAACATAGAGCAAATCTAGGTTACGCTTATGTGATGTTTTCCGTGCTGTGTCATCACAAAAGCGTGTCAATTGAATGTGTATTTAAGTGCTGCGGTTTAAAAACAAGTGATTTTAAACCGCTCAAGTCCAATAAGCAGTGAAAATTTTGGTATGTGAGACCCTGGAGCACAAAACCAGTCATAAGGGTCAATTTTTCGAAATTGAGATTTATAGATCCTCTGAAAGCTGAATAAATAAGCTTTCCATTGATGTATGGTTTGTTAGGATAGGACAATATTTGGCCGAGATACAACTATTTGAAAATCTGGAATCTGAGGGTGCAAAAAAATCGCCTTTAAAGTTGTCCAAATGAAGTTCTTAGCAATGCATATTACTAATCAAAAATAAAGTTT